TACATACATACATGCATGCATGCATGCATACATACATACATACATACATACATACATACATACATACATACATACATACATACATACGTACGTACGTACGTACGTACGTACATACGTACGTACGTACATTCATCCATTCATCCATCCATCCATCCATTCATCCAACATCCATCCAACCATCAATCCGTCCATGCATGCATCCATCCATCCATCCATACATACATACATACATTCATCCGTTCATCCTTCCATCCATCCATCCATCCATCCATCATCTATCATCATTCATCCATCCATCATTCGTCCATCCTTCCATCATCCATGCATCCATTCATCATCCATCATCCATCATCCATGCATCCATCCGTCATCCATCATCCATCATCCATCATCCATGCATCCATACATACAGAATAAATATACATAATTAAATAATAAACCCTAAAACATTATAAGCCCGTCAGACAAGTTCTACCATAAATAAAGCCATATCATTTCAATCCCCACCCTATATTTTTAATGTTTATTCATAATATAGTTTTTTTTAATCATATTTTTAGAACTGTCCAGCTGGCAGATGTTGAGTAAAGCTATACAGAATGCTAAATGAGACTCTCACAGAAAGTCCCTCGTTGTTATTTTTGTCAGGAACACACAGTAACAGTTTTCTGGTAACAAATAAAGCAAATTTTGACGACGAGGAACATGAAGCTAATCATCAGTAATGTAGCTTTCATTCTCCTGTGTTGCTTGATGGGTGAAGCCTGAGCCTGCAGGAGAGCTCTGGCACTACAGAACGCCGCCGGCCACTAGAGGAAGTTGTTTCTCCTGGCTTTCTGTATCTCATCACTCTGTTCAGGAAGTCCAACAGCTCAAGGCAAAGCAGCTCTCACAGTGCTGTGCTGTGTTTCACATGTGTGAGATTATAAAATCCTGCTGCACGTCTTCACACACACAAAAAAAGAGTCATTCAGCAAATTCTCCTCCATGTAGCAGCAGTTGACTTTATTTTCATTACGGTGTATGAACATTGATCCGTGTGCAGGCAGGAGAGAATCAATGAGGAGGACCAATTTCTCTTTCATAGCATTTGTTGCAGCTACAGTGGCTGCATGTGGCAGCAGATATTAATCACCCGTGCTGTTTGCACACACCTCATGTTGTGGAAGCATGAAGACAGAACCTAAAAATCCCTCTGCATGTGAGCAAACAGTGGATAAACGACGAGAGTGCTGCTCTATGAGGTGCAGCCTCTGTCAATAAAATTCATCTGGACTGATTAGTTTACGTTCGTAACAGAGTGACCTGTGAAATGTATTGATCCTGCAGGGCTATGAAGTGCTGGGCGGTCAGGACAAGCCTTGGTAAAAAGTACAATACATAATGAATAAATAATAAGCAACTTAATGATTCCTTCAGTATTCTTCGATATGCTGCTGAGTTCCCCTACA